TGGGATAAGTCGCTTGATCGTTACTCACGGTAAGTACGTGTGATTTTCAGATTTATACTAATGTGTATATAAACAAATGCGTACTAATTATATTTTTATTAGTTATATAAACCTTATTCACTTTATTTGAAATTAGTAGAGTTTTTAATATAATTTCTTTGGTTACCTTTTGCAGAGATATCAGAATATGGAAAAGTATCATTACAAGCTTTGTCAGAAGTTTTCTGTAAATCCATCTTCACCAGCTGTCAAGAAAAAAGCAANCTTTTTATTAGGAAAAGATTTTGATTTCCATAAAAAGGAAAATTGTTTAATTCATTCAATTGTAATCTCACTCGTAGAGGAGAAAATTTATCTTATGTATAGATTTAATCTTACTTTTTCAAATTTCGTTTAAGGTAAATCGCAATTTAATTCGAATTTGTAATCTCACTTAATTGAGAAATTTTTGAAGAGAATGTATAAATTTAAGATGCGTTTGTCGTGTTTTTAGAATTTTCACGAAAGAGTAAATGGAACTTTTGTATCTGAAAAATCACGCCTCATTTAATTTTAGTGTGATTTTTGAAAAGAAGAGAGTAATGTGAGGGTCGAAAGGGGTGAGAAAGTTTATAGACAATATGATAGGTTCAAAAAGAAACTAAAAATTTTAGAGAAAATAATATTTTGAGAAAATAATATTTCGAACAAGATTTTATCTACACAAAACAGAGGAAACAGTAGAATTTGAAAGGGAGTTGCTTTCCTTTCCCAGGCGAACTGTTGATGAGTTGATAATTTTGCACACGGTACAGAAGACCCAATAAAAAGGCCGTTTTCGCGCCACTCGAGGCAGCAGTCCGTTAAGGGAAGGTCATGCCATATGTAAAATATAGTACCTTCGCAGCAAATCAGACAAGAAGAGACAATTGACATACCAAGGAAATACGTAAGAAGTTTAGACATATGATATAAGGCAGTCCAATAAAAAGGGAGAAGCCATACGAAGAAACCAGCTATTGATAAGAAACGAACTCTTATAAAAATATAAATTACTGAATTAAGTACAGAAGAGAATCCTTGAAGAATAAAGCATACAAGACGAAAGATGTTAACGACCTACAGATGAAGGTAATATTAGAAATAGATTGATGTAAACTCTCTCTCGAAACGCTCTCATAGAATAAGCATAGGTTTAGTTTTAGTATTAGAATATTAGATTGTTGTATGAATTTATCTATTTAGTTTTATTAAATATTTGTTCATTTGTTAAAGAAATGTTTCATCTTTGGACCGAATCTATATTAGCTCTACACGCGTGTTAATCCGCGTATTTAAATTTGATTAACTGATGTCGGGACCTGACGAGATCTAGAATTAATCCTCTAGATCAGTGTTTCTCAACCTGTGACGAACCATCGCCCCCCTTCACTTCAAAATTCCTAGGTTGAGGATCAAGGCTAATGCCAAATTCGTACTGCATTGAATAGACTAGTGACTAGTATAATGTTATTTGTTTAATTATTGTACGATATAACGAATAAAATATCTAATTATTCTTAATTAATATAATGTTTTATTATATCGCCCAGAAAATTGTTTTTCGCTCTCCCAAAATATAAATTGTCACTAATCGCCCCCTCAACATGGAAAATCGCCCACATGGGGGTGGTATCGCCCCCGTTGAGAAACACTGGATTAGGTGATAGAAACAACAGTGTTAGTATATGAAATGTACAGTACGTTTATTGACCTGAGTACAGTCGACCCCCCTATAACACAGTAGATACGTTCCGTTCTTTATGAATCCATTTTGTACGAGTCCTTGCCAATCACAGCCCGATACGTGTGAAGTTTACGGACTACGGCTGTTTGANAATTAATATCATATTATTATAAGAATTTACTTTCGCAAGTGTTCAGATCATTCTTGAGTGTCCGACATTTTTATTGTTTTTACTTTAATTTAGAAACAATTATTAAAATTTCATCGTCTGAAAACCAATTTTTCTACTGAAGTGTATATAAACAAACACATACTAATTATATTTTTATCTGTTATATAAACCTCATTCACTTTGTTTGAAATTAGGATAGTTTTAAAATAATTTCTTATGTTAGCTTTTGCAGAGAAATTAGAATATGAAGCACTATCAATACAAGCTTTGCCAAAAGTTTTCTGAATCTTCATCTCCACCAGCTGTCACCAGAGGAGTGATAAAGAAGACAAAAGCTTTACAGTGCGACTATTGCTTAAAAAAATTTCAACAGCAAAATAATTTATTTTATAACAAGCAACCATATAATTCGACACAAGGAAAACAATCTTCGTCTCAGGTAAGTGAAAATATATCATATTTTAATCATTTGATATAGTTTATAAATATATTACGATTTACAACAGTAACATATACAACGGTTTACGTGTAAAAAGTTATCTAATTGTAAATGTGTTTATTCTTAACAATCTTTTTCAAATATATTCTATTATAATAACGTTGTTACATTTTTACAATATCCAACTAATTTGTCATATTTCCTCTTACTTCTGAATATTTTGTTTGTGTTAAAATCCATAAAGCTATTTAATTATTTTTCACTCAATAATCCTACTCGTGTAATAAGAGCTTGTCTGTCATTGTTATAATGTTGAGAGATTTAAATTATTAATTATATTGGATGTTGTTACAGTATTTGATTTAGGAATTAACGTAACATTTAGTTTGGTACTTAGAATTATTTAAAATCAGAGATCTTCGTTAAAAATAAATTTTATATAAATACACATTTGAATGAAGAAAGTAAATTTATTGTTCGTAGTATATTATATATTCGAATTTCTAACAATTTTATGAAAAATCATCGAAGACAGTAAATTGCTATGCAGTTATTATACAGATGGATGATATGAATATTATACAATAGGAAAAAGTTTCATTAACAAAGATGTCCATTCACTATAAAATACAAATTGGTTTTGTTATGAAAAATGTGTCGCGGCTCTATTAATGAACGATAAAATTAATTTGTATTTACTTTGAACATTGATATTTGTTTGGTTGAAGTGTTTTTCTTATGTTTAAAATTTTTAATTTATTAAAGAATATTCATTGTTGCAGGAACTGGAAGAAACAGATCCAGAAGTGCTCACAGCAGCCAACATTCTCGTGAAAATGAAAAACAAAAAATTCTAGATGATAGAAGATCGAAAGAAATCTCCTGAAATTCATACTGTGCCAATTTCACAGTAATTTGCGAATGTTCAATATCGACTGTTCTTTAATTCATTACCTTTCAAAATTGTAAGAAGAGATTTTTAAACTATTTCGTTCATGTGAAATTCATATGAATGGCCAATAAATTCCAATCTATATATATGTTTATATATATAAATTCGGATGTTTGTTTACTATACACTTTTAGATCATTTGATCAATTTCTACAAAACTGAGGGTCGAAAGGGGTGGTGAAAATTTATGGACAATATAATACGTTCAAAATTTTATAAATAGTATGATTGTACTATTACCTTGACCCTTTAGTCTTACCAACTTCCGAGTGTCAAGAATAATTCAAGAACTTTAAGAATTAACTTTTTGAATTTGTGAGATTTTAACAGAACAAAGAAAAACAGCGATTTTGACAAGAATTGAAACTTTCCATTCGTCATGATAAAGCTAAGACATGGTGTGACATAGAACTTGAACAACTTTCTACGAAAGGAGGTCATCGAAGGAGCGACCTTAAGAAAGGCGACCAGGTGTCTTCCTGAATGTGAAATATTTGGAACTTTACTTTTATTAGGAAAAGATTTTGATTTCCATAAAAAGGAAAATTGTTTAATTCATTCAATTGTAATCTCACTCGTAGAGGAGAAAATTTATCTTATGTATAGATTTAATCTTACTTTTTCAAATTTAGNATTATTCTTTATTAATATAATGTTTTATTATATCGCCCAGAAAATTGTTTTTCGCTCTCCCAAAATATAAATTGTCACTAATCGCCCCCTCAACATGGAAAATTGCCCACATGGGGGCGATATCGCCCCCGTTGAGAAACATTGCTCTAGATCGTTCTTAAACATAATTTGCCGCCCTCCTATAAAAAGTTACTGAGCCGATCTCACGATCGTGTGCCTGTAAGTGATATAGGTATCAACCCCATGCCCTTGGTTCTCACAACAGTTACGTTCAAATACATATAATTTAGATCTTGTCGTACATCAACTCAAAATATGGATGTTACATTTCTATATTTTTTTAAATTTTATTTATTACGCATACTGGATACACTCCTTGATGCGGGGAGAAAAACCATCTCAAAAAAAAATAAAAAAAACTTAGATACAATGAACATAAAGATCAGAAGTAAAGTTATACAATAATAATTTATATAAATAACAAGTTTAATTTATATCTAACTAATTAATTCTTACATTTGATTTTTATTAAAGTTTGGAAGCATCTCTCAATAAACTACGAAAAACTAATGGCTCAATTCTAGAACAGAATGACGCGATTGGGACTGACAAAGCTGTAGAGCATATCGATAAGAACAAAAAAGTCAAACCATGCCCGTACGGGCGACCCTTCGCGAAATATAGGCCCCCCAAAAATGACTATGTGAAAAATTTGAGACCCTCAAAAATGGGGTAAAATTCAAAAGTGAAACTTTTCGAAACTAAATCTCGAAACTCATTTTTTGCCGTTTTTTAAAACTTACTAGACACTCCCAAAACCTCGCTAAACACGAGGATCGCCACCTTTCGACCGCCACTTCCAGGGAGCGCAATAGGAAGTCACGCCTCGCTCGCTTTCTCTGCTAAGACTATCGCGTGTCTAACAGGCAGAAAGCCGTATTCTAACGACACTTCCATCGACAAAGACCAAAGAAAAGCCCTATTATTAGCGCTAATTCGGCAACGCTTTCTCCGCCGCCGCTCTATACCGAGCGCGCTTCTATTTCGCTATCTATCACATTCTAACTGACGACAAAAAGAAAACAGATCCTGCACTCACCTTCAACAGCGTCTCCTCTTGCGTCTCCCGCGACGTCCTCTCGCTACCTGGCGACGCCTAGCCTGATCTTAATTTTGCGTAGTAGAGGATGGGGTGAGGCCGCTAGTCCCCGCCTGGGCTAGGTCCTGGGGGTCGATGACGAAGGTGGTGGTGGTGGTGGTGCCCGATGTTGTCTGAAAAATCACATAATCCAGGTTTCACATCTGCAAATAGGTATCCTTTGGTCACGCGCACTATACACAAGCTGCACTACTCACTGGGCGATCGTCATCCCCCTGCCGTTCCTCTATGTCGCCCTCGTGCACGGGAACATCGAAATACGGCTCGTCGGGCGGCAGATGTTCATCCACGGGCACACCGATCGTCTGGAGTTGCAGACCCTGGCGACCGGGCCCGGTTAGATGGCCACGATGTCCCCGAGAAACTGCCGGAATTTTGCCGATGTCTTCGGCAACTGGGAAAAGACCCGCCTTTTGTACACGTACGTACAGTTGTAGCTCTGCAGGCTCCTGTCCGTGTGGAGCGACTTGATGGACTTCTTCAGCCAGCATGTCTAAACTCGATGTTTTTGAGTGTGGTCCTCGGAATCATCCGTGTCGACAAATCTGCAAATAAAAAAAAATAAAAATGTCACCTTTCTCCATAACGCACTTCTATTTTTTTCAATTAACACATGGCGCAGTTTCATCCTTCTCACCTCCCGGGGCCTCACTGGCTGTGATTGACTATCTTATGTCCAGAGAAGCCAAAAGTCGTACAACCGCGATACTGGGCCGCGCTGTCGGAAATTATGATGGATTTTGGAGCGATGTATCTGAGCATGTGGCTCCACAAAACTCGTCTGCTTTTGTTCTCCACTTAAAAGAATACGAGAAAGTATAACACAATTCATCTAAAATGCGCCAATGTCTGCCGGACAGGAAACCTTCCTCGATAACAAAAAAATATAAGGAAATAATGTTTCGCTACCACTTACATGCCAGTACATCAGCTCTCTCGTTTCCCGACAGTAGGCACCAAATATTGTAATTTGGGTGCCTACACATACGCGGCCGCGGTTGTATTTTCGCCTCCGGGTGAAGGTCTCATCGATCTGAAAACAAAAACACAATCAATACAGACAGACTTTTCGGCAAAGTCACAAACGTGGGCCGATTGTTTCCTCGACGTGCATTCCTTCACCGCTAGCTGGATATCTTGATTTTGGGAGACGAGAACCTCTGCAACTTTTTGGCAGAAGTTGTACCAATCTACCCTGTCGCGAGGGCCACGCCGCATTGCTCCGCGGCGATGGTGACTGGCTCCTGCTTGACCCATGAATATATCAACTTTAGCACCTGTAAAATACAGAGAAAACACATCTCGTACACTAACGTCATCGTAATCGGCACGATCAAATCACAGAAACGCGGAACGTAGTGTGGTACAGGAAAGACTGCTTTCCGGTTAGCAGGGCGCCCGTAACTACTATTATTTTTAGCAAATTCTAACTTTTCTTTCCCATTTTTTAGATAAACATCACTTTAAATAAATAGCAACTAATTACAAAGTAGAAGTTTCCCGTGATTACGTCGACTGCTAACATTGTTATACAGTGGATAACGAAGAGAATGCTAACTGAAAAATACTGAACTGAGAAACCGCCACTTTTCTGAGAGTTTTTTGCAATCGACTGAAATATACTTCTGTAGCTGAAAGCTTCGCTCTTTCGAAGAATGTATTGTGGATACAAGACAGGCTACCGGTGCACACAGCCCTCCTGACGGTGCCGCCTGTCCGTCGTTTAATTATTTTTTCTTTTACTTTTTCCCAGCAGTAGACAAATCCGAACCTGTCAGATGAAGCCGGTTCCTTGCGCATATTGCCTGAAAATGAAGACAAACTCATTGAAATCGCTTAGAAAAGTAGAGAAACGCTGCTCCGCGAATATTCGCTGTTCCTGTACGTGCAGGAATCAAGAGATGCTTACCTCCGCACTTAGGGCACGGTGATATGGAACCGGTTAGGTCCGGAGGTGGCACGAGCCCCACAAGATGGCAAAATTTCTGGGCGGCCTCTTCGGTGGGGAGGTAGCGAAGAAATTCGTAGGCAGTCATGTTTTCAAATATGTCGGCGGGATCCACAATGGGAGACGCTGAAACGTCACAACTGAACGGCATCTGAACTGAACTGCGTTTCTCAGGCTACAACTGGGTACAAAGGCTTGAAGGCGACCTGAAGGCTTATGAAACCTCGAGGGGCGGTGCCACGGACACGTGACCCGCGGACAAATCGTCCATTGGCCAACAGGCCCTCTCCCATTTCACGGTCGAGGGGGACACGTGGAGCGGCGTGCTGCATCTGTGCGGCAGAGGGGACCACCTGGAGGGCCTGTCATGCACAGTATGCTCCTCGGCCTAACACTGCTCAAGTATGAGTTCCAAAGTGTTTCTGGCAGAGCGACCTAGTGGGCCGGTGCAGAGAGAAGTGGCCCGGTGACTGCTGGGACTGGGGCTCAATCCCTGGCTCAGGTAAGAGGCGTAATAATAGAAATTTGTACTTACAGGCAACAGATGGCTACTTTGGAAGGCTGCAGGCGGGAGACTCGGGCCACCGGCCACGTGTGAGGGAGAGACAGCGGCGGCGCGTGGACAGGAGTGGGGAGACGCGCGCTGGGGGCTAAGGAAGGGAAACGCGCGTTTTTTTTCAACACTAAGATAAGGAAAAACCGAAAAAAATTTCGGACACGTGATGCAGTCCCTTTTGGGCGCGGAGTCACGTGACCGGATATGACCTAGGCGCATCTTTGAAGAGTTATATCTCGCGAAGGGTCGCCCATAAAGGCATGGTCCTATTGACTTATGCTTGCACAGGGGCTTTACATTTGGGGGGGGGTGAAAATAGCGTCACTCTGTTCTATATTTTAGCCAAACCAATAAATAAAACAATAAAGAATACGTAAATCGTTTACCTATAAAAAAGAAATAAGTTAATACCGAAGATACAGCACTGACAGATGCTCCCAAACAACACCAGCAACAAGGCTAAACTTATAGTAGAGGAATCATGCCCCCTAATACAAGAGAGCCACAGATTTTTTTAGAAAACAAAACACTTTAAATTGATAACATGGTACCGATAAAATTTTAAGAAATAAATACCTGGTAAGGACTTCACAATCAAAAACTTCTTCACATAGCACTTTAAGACGCCCACATTTAGCCAAAATATGCCAGGCATCCACAATTTTTTTCTCAACACAAAAGTCACAAGAATCTCTCGAATAATTATTTTAAAAATTTAGTGAATTACACCTAGCCTGTATAAATAAAGACAAAATATTAAGGGAAACGTCTTGTTATATAAAGAATTATCAAAAAAAGTGACATTCAAATCCTTATACCAACAATTATATACGCTATTAATTATTTTTTCATTTATATTGNTCTCTCGAAACGCTCTCATAGAATAAGCATAGGTTTAATTTTAGTATTAAAATATTAGATTGTTGTATGAATTTATCTATTTAGTTTTATTAAATATTTGTTCATTTGTTAAAGAAATGTTTCATCTTTGGACCGAATCTATATTAGCTCTACACGCGTATTAATCCACGTATCTAAATTTGATTAACTGGTGTCAAGACCTGACTAGATCTAGAATTAATCCTCTAGATAGTTCTTAAACATAATTTGCCGGCCTCCTATAAAAAGTTACTGAGCCGATCTCACGATCGTGTGCCTGTAAGTGATATAGGTATCAACTCTATACCCTTGGTTCTCATATTGGTGTCAGGAGCAAGATTACGAATCTAAAGACCCCTACAAAATATCACATATTGGTATAGCAACTTGGTGTAGTAGTTCAAGGTCGCTAAAATAAGTAGGTTAATTATAAGTTAAATTGTAAGCTGGAAATAAGATAAAGTAAAAATGACGGAAAAAATCCGAGAGGAGTTACATTGGGAGATATGAGTGGGTTTATATAACCCTTTGTTACCCACCTTTGCAGGAGAAAAAAAAACAAAGCATAAAAGATTGTTAACTCCTCTAAAGATTCGATAAAAAGCTCACAGGTTGGACTAAGTCCCAGATGGTAACAGTAGCTAAATTAAGGTTAATAGGTGTGGCGCAACAATTTTGAGAAGAGATAGAAGAATAAAAGATGTGGCGAAATATGACGATTTTAAGAAAATCCTAATAGATTTGAGAAAGTTCCCACTTCAATTAGATTGCAGAAATTTTATTCGTGCGTCCAAACGAGGGACAAAGATGTTCAAATTTTCGCGGTCCGCTTACAGGCCTTGGCCGAGGAAATCTAAATAGAGATAGAGGGGAAAAATGCCACGGAGTAAATTAATTAAAAAAATAAAAGTCAAAGAATTGGATGAGCGTTTAAAGGTTCAGTTTTTAGTTGGCGTAGATTATCGAATAAAAAGAGGGTAATGTCAAGAGAGCCAGAGACATTTGAACAAGCGCTTTACATCGCTGTGAGAGAGGAAGAAATAAAGACACTTACTAAAGGACGAAACAATAGCGATATAGTTCGTGTAGTAGAGGAAGATATAACAGAAAATGCACATAGCTATGAAATTTGAGTTAAGGAGAAAATTAAGGGAATTACAAGAAAAATTAGATTATATGCAAGATAGAAACAAATATACAAACTATCATTTTGACATAGAAAAGCGAGATCAATATAGAGATGGAAATTTCCGGTCACAACCACACAATAACACAGTAAAAATTTGTGGAAAGGCACATAATCAAATGTTGAGACAGATGATAGACCTATAGTGTTGATATATATTAATAACCTACCAGCAAAAGTAAGAATTGACGAAGTGGAAACTTCGTTAATATCGAAACGCATTACGGATAGAATAAAGCGGATAAATCACTTTTACAATAAACTACCATTAACAATAGAGAATTCTCCTAAGGAGAAAAATGTAGCTAGAGGAATCGCAACACCGGAATTTAAATTGAGAAAAAATAAGTTCAAAGCTATATGCCGAATAGTAGATACAAGAAACACTTACCCTTGAGATGGCACAATAGGGAAGGATATACTAGAGAGAGAATATAAAAGTAGACAATGAGGAAAATAGATTAATTTAACCTGGTGGAAAAAATGTACATTTCTGTTCAGCCATACCCGTATCGTATAAGCGAGAAAATTTAAGACAAAATTTTAATACGAATCTCAGAGATTATTATTATAGAGAAAATTATATTAGAAGCATACAAGCATATCCTGATATGTATGTTTAAAATTGCGTTTCCTTTGTCAGAAATGATAGGAAGATTTGGACAAACATACCCAAAAGAAAAAATATAATACGGAGAAGAAAAATCCCATGAACGTAAAAAGTTATTAATGCTGTTAGACAACCTAAGTTTAGAATCAATGAAAAAATGCAAATAAACAAAAGCGAAGAGTATATAAAGGAATTAAAAAGGAGAAGGAATTCATAAGAAATTCCCCAGAAAAGACAAATAGCCCACTTAAGAAAAAGTTAAATAGATGTAGTAAAGAAAATATAGGCTACTCTGATTTAAACACGATTAAAAAGGGA